CCAACACACTGTATACCACTAGACCCAGAAGGATCTGGGAAACTAAGCATAGGGGCTCGTTACAGAGGCTGTTTTCCTTGAAAAGGTAAACAGCTCATGGCAATCCATTCACTCGGACGAAAATTTTGGAAGATACAGAACGAATTGCGAATTGCGACGGAAATTAATCGCAAATCAATCAATCCAACGGTTCGGTAGACCACGGCGAGCAAGAAGTGCCAGTTTGTATCCGGAAATGTACAAGGCCCCCTGGTGCTGGTTGCTGTGGACGCTTTCATCGGCGAACGGCCTTACACCCTCGCACAATCGCCACCCCAGATTCGAAGGATCGCCGACCGATTGCGCCGTCGTCGCTAGTATGGCTTCGACCGGAACCGACCACTTGGTGGAGACAACTGTCGACTCCGTATCGCTCCTTTCTATCATTCAGAAATCCTTTCCGGAGGCTACTTCGTATTCTGTGCGGGACAACATCAAACAAGCCAATGCGGAAGGCTTTCGGGTCGTCCTCGAAGGCATCGAGAAAGAGAATGACTCGTCTACCTCTCTCTTCATCAAGAAGGTCAAGGCGCGCGAGTATTCCCATAAGCCATGGGGCGATCTACGCCGGACCCTCCTGTATTCGAGGACAGAGGCAAGATTTTACACCGACATCCTGCCGTTGATGAGAGAGAAAACAAAAACGGCGAACTCCAAGTGGAGCATTGCCCCCAACTGTTTCTACGCTGAAACAATACTGGACGGCTTGGTTGGGGAAGACGAATCGACGTCTGCGAGCAAGGGAGAGTCTGCAAGTGATCCCTTCTACAACGAGACTGACACGGCCATCCTCGACCACAAGGGGGGACTGCTGGTCCTCGAATCGCTCGGTGGAGATTTCTACCAGAAATCACCACTCACGCCGGAGGAAGCCACAGAGTGCCTCCGGGCCGTTGCGGGGTTCCATGCCACTGCCTACGAGGATGCAGCCATGCTGAAGGTCGTGTCCGATCGGTTGTGCGAATACGGGGGGTCGTACCACCTCAGAAACCGCAACCCGAAGGAGCTGAAGAACATCCAGACCACCTGGGCCGAGTTTTGCAAAAGAGTCGGGAGTGCCGCGCCCGAGGTATTCGAGCGGCCTTCGGTCGTCAATCTTGCAAAGCGAGTGCAAGATATGGCGGAATCGATTTCGGAAGAGTTGTCCCCGGCCTACAACGACAAATACGCGACCATCGTACACGGGGATTACAAAGCCATGAACGTCTTCCTTGCTGCCGACAAAACAGAGGAGGGGAAGGAATGTGCCGCCGTCGCCGCATCCCCATTGCCAATCATCATCGACTTTGCATCCACGGGGGTAGGCCTGGGGATATCCGACGTTGCGATGCACATCACGCACGCCGTGCCCCCGGAGCACCTCGTGGACGGAGGAGAGGAGAAACTCGTCGAAACATATCTAGACGCGCTGAACAAGGCCCTGCCGGACCACTCGCGCCCGTGCTACCCTCGGGACGTCGCGATGCGGCACTATCGACTCGCGGTAATCGATTATTTCCGGTTCATCATGGGACGCTTGTGGAGGGGTGCATCGCTCGAGACCTTCGAGAAACGAAAAGACAGCATGAATTCAGTGTACGTCAATCGAAACATCGACGCTGCGATCAATTTAATCGAGCGAGCCGACAGTTATCTGACCATATTCGAGGAGGAATCAAGAATGAATACTGGTAGAAGCAACATGACCCAATAGATTCCACCTAGACATAAAGCAGTACTCGTACTCAGTTATCACTGACATGCGCACTCTGTAAATTCCAAGCCTCAAATGGGATATGCTACGATGGTGCTCTGTCTAAGTTTCAAATTGCATCCATCACCTTGTATTGAATCAAACCCTACCAATTTTAACACTCTGTCGTAACCTCAAATTGTATTGAAAACGCTATTCCCGGGATCTTTCCACACCAAAAAAATCAATCCCGTCTCTTGTGTATTGTTTGAGACAGCAGTAACAACCAGTAATGATGAAAAAATCTCAAATTTATGTTTAACCTCGTCAACTAAGTCCTGATTACGGCAAGAACCAGAACTGTTGGGGATGAGGATGCTACTGGCTGTTCTGGGTGGTAGCATTTTCCCTCTGAGAAAGGGTTGTGGACGCACAGCCGTACAAACCAGTAATGCTATGAAGACAGTATTAACATGAAATACAGCATAGTAGAAGACCAAGACAACAAAAAGAATGAAGTCCTCATCTCGCACTAGGACAGTGGTGACAAAAATTAATGCTATGTTCTTCTTGTTGCATAAAATGGCAAGTGTGGCATGTGTCACAGGGTGGGAGGAGGAGTTCTTCTGAGAGGAACAATAAAGAGGATGGACAGCACTATTTGAAGTAGTAAGTGAACAGTATTTGAAGCAACTTTTAAAGTTACAATGATGCTGTACCTATATCATCATGGGTATAACTTCCTCCGGCACAATTAAGCAAACTCTTAATCTAACTCAGTTTTTGGTTGAGGTACATCTTGGTACTGTTACTGGCTTCTACTTTCTGGGTATAAATATCTATCTTGATACCACCTTTTGGGTCTACATCTGTTTTGCCCCATCACTGTAATAACATTTTGTCTCTTAATAGGGTTCAGAGCATTTGTCTGCCATCAGGTGCAAATCAGTCAGTAATATAGAATCCTTGTGTTTTCTTAGTAGGGCCCTTATTGTGCTTGTACAGATATATTGGTCTGAGCCTTTCATGGTGACTACCAGTGGTGGTACTTGGTAAAATAGTCCTCTGCTAGTAGGTTATGCTTCCCTGGCTCCCAGTAGGCCTTGAATTGTCCTTGCTCGGCTTGTTCTTTCAACCATTGAAAATGCATGGTATCAATGGCCTTTGATCTCTTCTTTTTCATTGTGTAATTTAAAAAAAATCAAATGCACCTAATATCTTTGCAAATCTGAAGTCCTGAAAGCTCAAATCCCCAGTCTCTCCACCCTTGCCCCCCCCCATCCAAACAGCATCCTGATTGCATTAGTACCATCAATGAGCTTGTTCTCCACAATCCCTTGTTCTTCAAGAAAAGATGTCAAAAACTGTTGTGAAGCACTTTGTCCAGACTACATCCATTGAATACAAATATTAGTGTGCTGGCTGGTGCACAAATACACAGGTTATAGATAATTCTAACAGAAGAAAAGAAAACAGGAATGGATACAAGATTCTTCACTAGATGCAACAAAATACTTAAAAATCAACAAAGGAAATTCCTTTAAGTTTGAAAAGCAAGCACAAACAAGATTCAAAGAATTGGATCCAAAACACTGAGTTTAAAACTGTAAGATATGCTCTTTGGATATCAAGATCTAGTTATCTCAAATAAACTACTAGATCAAGCACTAAGATCAGACCCAACCGGATGGATTTGAGTTGAGGTACGAGCTCCAAGGAGACAGACATCAATATTAAAAAATAAGATACCAAAACAGGAAGAAAGAAATACAAGGAGAGCAATAATTGTGAACAACAGAGACATGATTGCAGTTATTGGCACAGGAGGAGGGAAGCACCCAATGGTAACAGAAAAATCATGGATCAAAACTGGAGAAACAGGAATCACAGCTAAGTTGAACCCATATCAAACAGACAAGATACCAATGCACCCAGCCTGCAGTGCAATAACAAAAGTAACCTTATCCCACAGAACTGAACATGTTCTACTCCAAGTTCACAATACAACATTCATAACAAAAAAAGATAACACAAATGGAGAATCCTTGTTAACCAGAATGGATATGGGAGATCATGGAGTTAAAATCAACGGAATATATCTCAGTGACAAAAATTTGGTATAACAGTAGATGGTGACTTCTTACCTTTTGATTGGGATGATGAAAAACTATTCTTTAGAATTGAAAAGCCAACATCAAAGGAACTTCTGTGATATGAACTTAATTCATCAATTCCCCCATCAATACCACAAAGAAAAACCACATCTCCGACATTCAGCAACTATCAAGACACACCAATTGGTGAACTAAGAAAGAGATTTGCCATGTTACCAGAAGAAACCATTAAGAAGACACTAGAAAACACAACACAGTATTACCAAGAAATTGAAGATGAACACAGGGAAGCTCCATGAAAACACTATAGGAACAGGTTTCAGGCCTTCATTTATAAAATGAGCCAGTAGCAACTGATTTTGCCTTCTTCATTAACAAATCTTCTTAAGGACACAAAGGAGGACAATTTTTGCCGGAACTAAATCTAAGAGATGGTCCTTTCATGCACTTAAAACAGAATCACAATGTACCAACCCTCTGCAAGACTACATACAAGAAAATGGACCCCCAGACACCTTAATTCATGACAACGCAAAATCAGAAATGGGGACTAGATGGATGGATATTTTATGAGAGTATATGATTAAATCACGCACCACCAAACCACATCATCCACATCAAAATCTAGCAGAAGATAAATTGGGACAACTGAGTAAGATGATACAAAATTGTATCTGGGTCTTCAAAGCTCCTCCAGAGTTGGTAAATTGGTGTGCCAAATGGTGTTGCCAGGTTAATAATCTACTAGCTGCAAGATGGTCACTTAATTGGAAAGCTCCTTTTGAAGTCTCTAAGGAATGGACACCAGACATATCACATATGCGGTTTCATTTCTTTCTTTGAACCAATTTGGTATTTTGATTCTCAAATTAAAACACCACAAAATAACCTCCTTAAAGGCAGATTTTTAGCTTTTATGGACTCCTGTGGTGATGCAAAAATGACTTACTACATACTCACTGAATGGGATGATCGTAACCAACACCAAAAAGTCCTTATGCAGTCAATTATACAGACCTGTAGAAAACATATTGGTACTCTAGATGAGTATGTGAATGATGATCCTAATGACATCACTGTCACACTTACATTCAGTGAACACAACAAAACATTGAAAGATATCAAATCTACTGAGGAAGTGCCTTTGCTATTTCCAGGGGAGAAAATAGTGACAGCAAGCAAGCTCTCCATATCAAACCCTCACAGAGCCTGAAAAAGACAACACACCTCCACAAGAAGCAGGTGATATGGAATTAGATTCCAAAGAAAACTTACCAGTTGACACTGACTGTACCAATGATGCAGAATCACGCCAAGCTCTACTAGAGAGTAATGACTACAAGACCCTGCATACAGAATTGACCTTAAAAAAGATCGTACGTCACTACTGGAAGGATGGGGTATTGGTCTTCAAAGTCCAATATGTAGACAATGATCACAATCATGCAGTCTTGGATACCTTATTCCCAAATATTAAGAAATATGAGCCCCTGATATGTGCAAAATATATCAGAGAACACATTATAGAAGGATTGCAAAGAACAAAATGGCCATTGAATGGTTGGGCAACTAACAAAATAAAACAACATGATGGCAGTATCATAAGACGGGTGAAAAGAACTAAGTCAAATGCCTCAGAAAACACCTTAAGAAGGGTAAAGGCAAAAACAAATGGCCACATGTCTCAGAATCAAAGAATGCATAAAAATAGAACTAAAGAAAAATTTGGAATAAGAATTCCAAATACATTCAAAGAATGCATCAAATTAGATCAAGAAGCAAAGAACACATTGTGGCATGATTCAATCAAGAAAGATATGGACAATTTAGATAGATTGCACTGTTTCAAATATCATCCAGCCGATAAATAATTCCCTGAAGATGAAGGATGACAAGAAGCCAAATTAAAAATGATCTGGGACATCAAGAGTGAGGATAAGCGTTACAAAAGCAGACTCATTTGTTTTTCTGGTAGCACAGCACCTGAATCTAGGTCTAATGACTGTGAATGTTGGAAATGCATTCCCAACAGTGCCTTGCCAAGAAAAAGTATGGTGTGTTGCTGGAGACGTCTTTGGGGACCAAGCCGGTAGCAAAGTAGAAATCCAAAGAGCATTATGGATTACCAGGGAGCAGTCAGGCCTATGGACTTTTTTGCAGATACTTTGTTGGGTATGAATTTCCAACCATCAGGGGAAGATCCAGATTTATGGATTAAATTAAATACAGAACAAGATGGTTATGATTACATTGCCACACACATGGATGATTCAATTATCTTGGCAAAGAATCCTGAGGAATATATATCCTGAATTGAACAAGAATTTGCTTTAAGAAACATTTAATCTGATCCAAAGTATATTTTAGGCAATAGTATCAGAAGAATACAAGATGGAAGATTGCTATTAAATTTGGAGTCATACAACAAAAAGAAGCAATACAGAAATACAAAACCAAATAGTATAGTGTTGAGAAAAAGAAAATATTCTGATGAGAGTAGATTGTCACCCAGAGCTAGATGATACTGACCTACTGTTGATGGAAGAACACAAAGCATTCCAGCATATTATCGGCTTAGGACAATGGATAATATTGACTGGAAGAATCGACATTTGCTATGTGGTATTGTCTTTAGCTAGATTTGCATTAAGACCAAGAAAAGGAAACTTAACTATGGCATGACAAATATTGGGCTATTTAAAGAAATTTAAAAAGAGGGGTATACTAATAGATGCCTTAAGCCCAGTTGAAGAAGTGGAAGATGATCTGAAGCCAATAGAAGACTTTGCACACCAATATTCATATTTCATGGGAGATATAGACCCCATGTTTCCAGCACAAATCAACAAGGAACTAAAATTCAACATCTTTAGTGATTCAGACCACAGCCATGACAAGGTCACTGGGAGGAGCGTAACAGGACTGTTGGCATTTGTTGGCTCCACCCCAGTATATTGGAAATCTAAAAGGGAGTCCTGTGTACACACCAGCACTTTTGGGGCTGAGTTCTCTGCATTAAAGAACGCAATCAAACTTGCCATTACACTCAGACATCACCTTAGATCAATAGGCATTCAGATAACTGAACCTACAAATATACAAGTAGACAACATGAGCGTTGTGTTAAATGGAACCAACCCCTCTAGCACCTTAAAGAAGAAGGCAGTTGCATCAACATATCACTTTGCAAGACAACATCAAGCTGAAAATGATGTTAAGATATCCCACATCAGCTCAAAGGATAATTATGCAGACTTGCCCACTAAACTGTTGAACTCAACCCTGTTATGAAATTTACTGAACAAATTTATGACCACTTAATCTCAGACATGTTTAATTGTTTATACTAAGTATGACAGCTCACCACTGTTAATAGATTCAGGGGAGAAGACCGCAAATAGGCTGAATCATGATTCCTGTAAGAACGTGATTAAATAAGATCAAAGTATGAATCCTTATACTGCTGAGATCATTACCATTCCCAATACCCCACTGGCTGTGTACATTTTGCCTAAGTTGGATCCATCCCCAGTTCTTAAGGACCAGAAGAAGAGGAATCCCGGTCATGATGTTGTTGTTCCAACATTCATGTTGGTCTGATATTGCAAGGATCTAAGTGGTCAACTATGTGTACTAGGATTTGACTAATGTGATTTGA